ATGCCCTCTTCCTCCTCGCCCTCATCCCCCTCTTCTTCCTCCCCCTCTCGGGCTCCGTCGTCGGAGGCGTCAACCTGCATTGCTTCGGCAGGTGCTGCCGCTGCTGCTGCTGCTGCGGGCGGGTCTGCTGCCGCGGGTGGCGGTGCCCCTGCGAGCGGTGCTGCTGCGGGGGGTCCAGCCGCTGCTGCTGCTAACAGTGCTGCGGGTGGCGGGCCTATCGGTGGCGTTGGCCCCCCCCCTGCGGGGGCGGCGGCTGCGCTGCTGTTTCGCTCTGCTGCTCCTGTCGGTGAACGAAGTAAGCTCACCCCCATGAGAGGGGCCTCTCCTTGCGTTTATTCGGTTCCCCCCTCGTTTATCCCCTCAAACAGGGGCCCTCCCTTCTTGGCAGCGCGGGGCAGAGAGGGGGGGGTGCGGTCCTGCAGCAGGCCGACCAAGACCGCCTCCCTGGCATCGCACCTCCGCTGCCAGTGCCTGGCAGGCGCAGAAAACTGACCAGGATAAACATTGCGAAAATCAAAACATCAAACCGACATAACTTCACTCCTCAATGTTTGAGGGCCCCCCCCTCCCCACCACTTGCACCCTTGCGTTGCCTGGCTCTGGCGACCTCGCTCTTGCCGCCCCTCCACCTCCTCCCGTTGCGGTCGCGGTCGCCGTGCTCGTGGAACCACTGGGTCGCGTGGTGTTCCTGGCGCGTCTTGCCAACGCACACCGAGAAGAAGGTGCGTTTGCCGCACTGCCAACACTTCTTGCAGCTCATCTTGCGAAGCCACAAGCGGTGGGACGAGCGGGTGTACCGCTTTCTGTGGTCCTGGAAGTCCAGCATGAATTCCTCCCCCGCCTCGCTGTCGTCGTCGTCGACCTCAAAGACAGGCGCGTGCCCGTCCTGCAAGCTGTCTCTGTAAATCAATCCCTTCAGGAAGGGCCACGGGTCTCTGTGAATGAATCCCCCTCTGTAAACGAATCCCCTCAGGAACGGGCGCCTTGACCACTTGTATACCCCCAGCTCCTCGTGAGGCCGCTTGCCGCCGCCGCCGCCTTCTGGAGGCAGCCCGCCGCCGCAGCCGCCCGACATCATCGTGCCGGAAGCCTGGGGTCCAGAACGGTTGCGGCCGAAAGTTTATAGTCAGACTCAAAAGGCTAAAATCTGGGGGCCTCGTGGGAGGCCCTTCGGGGGGGTGAATGCAATGGAATGTCATAGGAATTCGTCCACTTTTAGACCCCCTTTTTTTGCTAAAAAAGGTGGGTCTAAAACTGGGCTGCTGGGTTGATTTTTTATCGCCCAGATGGCCAAACAAGTGGCCGTCACTCTTACTTTTCTCCTCATCCTGCCCCAACTCCCCCCTTGCATTCTGCTTCCGCGCGGCCTGGAGCGCCGAGAGGCACATGATGAGCGCCCGCATGGCCGCGAGCTCGGGGCGGGGGGCTGGCCCCCGAGCGCGCTGGGTGTCAGCTCTGTCGAACGGTTGCGGATTAAGAACATGAAAGCAGATGGGAGAGGGATGGAACGAGGAGGAAACGCAATGCCATACACATAATGAGTAAGCAGACTGCCGCACCTTTGATCCCCTCCCAGAGGGGCCCCCTCTCGGAGGGGGCCGTTGCCCTGTCTCATCGCGAGCGTGCTGAAGCCCCTCTTAAGGGGTTCCCCTCTTAAGGGGTTCCATCACTCGCCAATCCATCGCGCGGTCCCCTCACGGAGGGGCGCCCCTGCGATGAGGGGGCGTCGTCTAGCGCTGGAGAGGGCGCTCTGCCAACGGGCATGGCGATGGCAATGGCGATGAAGACGGTAAGGATGATGATGAGGATGGATGCGACGATGAGGATGGACGCGATTAGTCGCCCAAGCGCTGTGCCACTAAGCGCTCAGCCTCCGCCTCAGCAGCTTCCTTGGTGTCAGCCACGGCGCCGTCGACCAAGGCCTTCTTCAGCTCTGCGCCGATCTCCCTGAGCGTGGCCTCGTCCAAAGTGTCCTTGTACTTTTTCCCGCCGAAACTCACAAACTGGTTCTTCTCACCGTGCGTCCGCTTCAACCCGATAGCGTGGCCCCTCTTGTAGTGCATCACGCTGCACCCGCGGTCGGCGTGGCCAGCGGGGGGCCCGACCGAGGCCTCATCTGCAGCATCCACGGGCTCATCGGGTTCCAGCTGCTCTTCCTCCTCCCCCTCATCGTCCTGGTCCGTCTCCGTGTTCGCGGCGGCTGCACTGGGCTTTCTCATTGCAGGCTTCTTTGCCACTACGTCCTGCTGGCTTCCCTTTTTTGCACGCTTTCGCCTTCGCCTGCGCGGCTGCCGCTCTTGCTGCCAGGAGGGCGTTGGGCTGCTCCGTCTTCTCCGTCCTGCCGTCGGGAAACACGGCGTCCAAGAAACCATCGCCTCCTTTCGCCAGTGTTCCCCGCTCCTCCCTGTCCGCGAACTTCATCACCATGCACATCGGCTCGGAGTCGAAATCGAAATACGTGGCCAGGGGATCCCGGGGCGGGTCTCTCACTTGCCCCTCC